GAAAATGGAAAAAGGATGTGCCCAGGGGCCCCTGGCCCTGACTGCAAAAAATCCTTATATCGAAGGATGGACCCCACACCGAAGATGTCCCCACCTCAAACTTGTGCTGCCCTGATAGATCCGGCACCGGAGCCGCCGCGGAAAATCCTGTCGGGGGGCGTCGGCGGTGCGGGCAGTTCAGGCAGTGTAAAAAACAGACACGGGTCCTCGAATTTCAATGTCCTCGTTTTCGCGCCATCTTGAGAAGGTCACGCGAGTCCGCGACAAGGCACTCCCAAAATGGCAGCCGCGGGCGGCTGGCTGCAGTACCGCTCTCTGGCCACAAAGTGGCAGCAGATGTCAAGCGAGTCAGCGACAAGATGGCGGCCCGTGGGGACCTTGATGGTGACAGGCGTTCTTGCCGATGCCTGTCGGCTCCCGCCAAAAACCCGCACGCTCGCGGTGCTGCTGGCCTTACAGACCGTGTACACGGCACCGGAGCCGCCGCGGAAAATCCTGTCGGGGTGCGTCGGCGGTGCGGGCAGTTCAGGCAGTGTAAAAAACAGCCACGGGTCCTCGAATTTCAATGTCTTCGTTTTCGGGCCATCTCGAGAAGGTCACGCGAGTCCGCGACAAGCCACTCCCAAAATGGCGGCCGCGGGCGGCGGGTTACAGTACCCCTCTCTGTCCACAAGGCGGCAGCACTGCCGCACGCCAGCGCCGGGGGCCGCCGCTCGCCCTGGGGCCGCGGGCGGGGCCGGCGGCAAAAACAACGGGCCCCGGCGGAACGTCCTCGGTAGCAAATGCCCCGAAACATCTCGCGCGGAAAAGAACGCCAACAAAAAAACCCCTGCCTCTAACCCAACACGAACCAAAAGAAAAAACCTTTTCTTTTAAACTGCATTTCAATGTATTTTATTTTTGTATTTTTCGTATTTATATTCACATTCGGATTTATAATTCGGATTTAAAGGCCGGCAGGGGAGGGAAGAGGGACGGGGCACAGAGGAGGGAGAGAGGGGGAATGCAACGGAGTAGCGGGGCAGGGACAGGATAGGAAGGAGCCGGGTTTGGGGGGGGACACGGAAACGGGGGAAAGAGAGGTAACTGAATACGGGCAGGAGCATGGAGCGGGAGAGAGAGGGACAGGTGATCCTCCCGGCGCCCCGGCTCCGCCCCGGCGCCCCGCCCTGCCCGGGATGCTGCGCTCGGCAGAGCTCGGCTCCGTTCGGCTGGACTCGGCTCCTCGATCAGTTTCGGCTACATTCAGAGCAGGAAGGAAGGGACCAGGCTTATCTTATCAGAGTCACAGGGGTCCCTGGAAATGGGGAAAAGGAAACAGCATATCCCGAGCGCACTGTAACACCCTCGCGGGACCGCAGCTCCGGGCGGCGGACGGGCCGGTGTCTCTCAACCCGAGACTACAACTCCCGGCAGGCGCAGCGCCTGACGCACGGCCGACGCACGGTCGAGGCGGCGTTTGAGTGGCTGGAGGGCCGGGGCGGGCGCGCGGGGCCGAGCGCGGGGCAGCGGGATGCGCGCGGGGCGCGCCCGGCCGCTCTCCCGCGCGGGACGGAGCCGCGGGAGCGGCGCGGCAGCGGGGAAGCCTCGGGCTGGCCGTCCGCATGGAGCTGAGCAGCGCGGAAGGGGCGTCCACCCGGTTCCTCGGCCTCACCCAGCGGTACCGGAGGCGGGGGCTCAACTCGGGCGGGGCGCTGCCGATGGCGGAGAGGGAGGCGGCGCTTTGCTCCCGCGGACCGGGAGCCGCAGGGGTCGCCCGGGCGAGCGGGACTGGAGCTCCCGGTTTGGGGCGGTGGGCCGCGGGGTAGCGGGGCAGCAGCAGTCCCCGAGCTGCGGCCGTCTCCCTCGGGCTGCTGCAGGTGCTGTGCGCGGAGTCGGGCGAGCGTCCTCAGAGTCGGTTTCGCGGCATATTCACCGCTGCAAGCAGATAGCGCTGGGATATCGCTGAAATTGCACCATTGCTGACTGTGTTGGTGCTCCTGACTTAAATGAGAACAGATGGAGCGATATTGACTAGTAAGCATATAGATGGCAAGGAGAATGGCAAGTCCGAGGGGCAAGCAGGCTCTGTCCTTCTGATCACACAGGTGCAATCTGCAAACTCACCCCCTTCTGCCACTACCTTCCCGACCCCCAAGTAAAATGCGTTCCAGTGTCGAGCTTCTGAAAGACAGAACATGTGATTTGACACTAGGATTCAAAAACCGTCTACATTTAGAATAGCAAATGCGTTTAATTGTGCTTCGTTGTTCAACTTTCAGGACTGTTTTGTAGGAGCTTCTGTTGAAAGGGGAGAAAGCTAGTCCTGTCCCCTCTTCATCATTACTGTTCATTTATACAACTGCACCTTTGTTTCCAGACAAATGGGAAAGGGAGGTGGAGTATACTGTGTAGATGCTGTACAAATGCATGTAGGCTGGTTAGTTATATTCATATGAATAAAGATGCATCTGTATTTACGTACTTTGCAATGTAAGTAAATTTTAAATTATTAAGCCCAACTATTCTGAAGCACTGATGAACTAATCTCAGTGGTGGCAGCTCATCTTAATAAGATGAAAACTATTCTAAAAGTGTCATAACTGGAGCAACAATTTTTGTTATATAGATCTGGACTGAGAGAGGATGTAAATCAATGCAGAAAATCAATATGAAAGTTGATTTTAGTCACAATGTATTTTTTAAATTAGCAGAGGTGATATGTTAGAGGGTTGAGTAGAAATCTTGGCGGTAACTAAGAATGGAGAGCCAATGAGGTATGCAAGTACAAGAATTCACTAGGGAGTATATGCACTTACGTAAATAGCATGATAACGTGAATCTTACCTGTGCCTAAATTGAAGCTCAGAGGCCTAATTTATGTGAGGTTGGTGTGAGAATCCGCTTTAGTTACAAGATATGAGGCAGGTGACATGTGAGATAAAGTAGTTAGTTTGAGAAGAAGCTCTTGGGAGATTTGCTCTTGGGTATAATTCTGATTTTTAAAAGGACTGCTAGCGTTTGAAATATAGGTATGTTTTAGGTAGTTTGAATTGGGACGCGAATGAGAATATTGGTATTAAAGCAGTCTTTGTTTAATCATTAGCTCATATATACTCCTGTTTTTTGAATTATTGAAAGTGCTGAAAAATGCTTTTGGTATGAAAGGGTGTGGTTTGTGGCAAGGTAGTTGGTCTTCAAATGATTGGAATGTAGTTTGTGAAGAGGTGCTGAGTAATGTGATACAATGGTATGAGGTTGGATTTTGAACTTCAGGTTCTAGAATTACTTTTGTTTGTATCTTTGTTAAGGTGATAGAGGGAAACCTCTGAAATGCTGTTGTTTTCTCATGCTCTTAAAGTACTGGTTTAATTTCTCATTGTAGGCTGAAAAAAAGATTGAAAAAATCAGTAGCAACCTACTAAATATGGTCTTACTGAGTTGTATAGTGCAGTTGTCCTCTTTGAGGTGTTCAAGTTTACATTTTGAATGTGGTTATGAGCCATGACCTGCTTGGGAATTCTGATTGCATCATGCCTAAGTATTTAATTTAATGAGAGCTTTTGCTTTCAGTCAGGATATAGATATTTGCTTTGGGAGTAATGTGAAAGCCAGACTGCAATGGCTGCTAGAGATTGTGCATGCTGTAAGAAGTGTTCCCTGCAGCAATGAGTTTATGTGCCGTGAACACGGTTCAGCAGAAATGATGTTTTTTCTAATGGCAGGGTATAGCACTGCAGGAAATGTAAGGTTAGTAAACTTATGTACACTGATGAAGCGTTTCTATTCCAGCTCCATCTCTGAAGATCTGGGTTGCAGGCGCGGAGAGTTTAGCAGAAAGCATTATGGATCTGTGGAGCTTGTAAGTATACATAGCCTGTCCTTCAGTTTATCAGCTTATGATGCAGAGCTCTAATCCTTTCATTTCCAAATAAAATAATTGGATCTAGTTTGTAAAATGTGCATTCTTAGCTAGAATTGAAAGTTATAATCTAATATAAAGCGGCTTCTGAATATATGTATATCAGACCTGTGATAGGAGATCTTTTTTACCTTATTAATTAATATTTCATTGTAACAAGAAAGGAAGCATTATATAAATAGTGGGTTCACCTCCAGGTGTAAATTGAACCTTTTTTTCCTCTTAGAAACTGAAGGTAGCAAAATATTAGGGTAGTATTTAAGGAAGTGCTAGCAATTATATAAGCTGTAAACTGTATACATGTGTATGTAATTTTATATATACATGACTCATAGTAGTGGGAGAAGGCTTAAAACTAAACAAACTAGTCAGAATTAGGATTTTGAAAATGGTTCCCTAGAATCTGTCAGTTATTCTGCATTTTCTTGAAATTCAGAGATTAAGTTGGCACTTTGTTTTTCTCATATATCTATTTCTTCTGCACTGTGAAAATATATCAGCAATTAAAACCGTGTCATTATGATTACAAGGTCATAATGAAATTAAATAAATTTGCTGTAGGATAACAGAAGTGGAGAGGAGTTAAGAAATTGAACTCCAGCTCTGTTACTGTGGGATGAAATCACAAGTTTTCTATGAGCTATAGTTGTATTTTTAAAGTTCTTGGGTAGCATATTTATTAACGTGTATGTAAATTGGGTGTGAAATGGTGGCCTAGTTGCTGGAAGTTGCATTGTGGGAACACCAGATATCTTTTCTTTCCATACATTCCACATAAAAGATGTGGTGTTTTAATGCAAAAATGCAAGTAAACTGTTTTCTGGTTAGAGACTCTGTCATTCCTAGTACTTAAAGTCTTTTGCTGGAAAATAACAAGTTGTTATAAATATTATTTCACAGTCAGTTCACACAAATGGTCTTCTTTCTTGGTTGTTTTTCTTAAAAATTCTGCTAGCATTTTATGAAAGTGTGTCAGTTTTGGAGCACAGATATTTAAAGGTTCTTGTTGCCCTTTCAAATTTGTAAATGTTTCATACTTAACTTTTCTTGCTTCATGTTTTCCACAGTAGCATCTCATTAGTGTCTCAGAGTTCTTACTGGGTCATTCAAAATCTTTAGTCAAATTGGTAATAGCTAGACTGGTCCCTTCTCTGTGGGGAGTCATGCTGCCTGGAACAAAAAGAAATGGTAGTAAGCTTTGATTGCTGGTCGTAAGGCTATTTTTGGAAATAGAACCTCTATGTTAAAATCTCTTATAGCTTATATCCAGTGATGCTGATGGAGCCATTCAAAGAGCTGGACGGTTCCGTGTGGAAAATGGCTCCTCTGGTGAGGTAAGTGCTCAAAAATACTCATAGAATGCTGAAGAAAATGATTCAGCTTCAGTTATTTTTCATCTATGAAGGATGCATTTGCAGTCATTTGCTAAGGAAGCGGATGTTGAAAATTCTGGCATTTTGTTTTATTTTGGTAACATTTTTGCTTACTCAATCCTGTTAGGAGAAAAATATCTCTGAATGATGCTTCCCAGTACCTAGTTCACCACTCTGTATAAATCCTGTCCTGTTGGTACTATGATGTTTAAGCTGACCTCTGTGCTTTAAAGTTTGCTCCTTGGCATGAAGAGGTTTAGCTTCATTTTTTTGACCCTTAGCTGTCTTTTGGCAGCTGTGCTTATCTTTAAATAAGAGAGAAAGAGATTGAGTGGAGCCTCAGAGATTAATTCCCTTCATCTTTCTTGCTGCCAATCTCGCAGTGTGATCCTGCAACTACTCCAGTGACAACTGGGGATTAACTTGGGAAGAACTGAGAAAATGAAAGCTGAAGGCATTAATTTATTTAAGTTTTAAAAATTTTTGTCTTCAAATTCCACATTGAAAGACCTTCTTTTCTCTGATATTCTAAGATATTATCCGTAAGAATGGTACAGCAGGACAACACTTATCTACTTAGAGAGAAATTAGAAAAAAGGGTACATGAGAGAGAAAAATTGTTATTTTAGCTGCACACCAACTAACTTCACAAAAATCCTTGTGTTTTAAGAAGCAGCGTACAGCTAAAATTTCAGTCTTTATTTGCTTTTGCCTATATTTTGTCCTTTTTTTTTTCACTTGGCATTTAATGTAACAGTCTCCCAATTCTATTTCAGAATACAGACTATGCTCCGGGTACATGGCACAGAACGGATGTGCATTTGGAAAACCCAGAGTATCATACAAGATGGTACTTCAAGTATTTTTTAGGGAAAGGTAAATATTTTTTTGCAGCTGGATTGGAATTAGCTGCTGCTGTTTCTGTAGTTTTGAATTGTTACTCTTTCAATATGAAAAAAGGTATGGTGTTAATTTAGTATTAAAACATTTTCTGTCCTGTACATGAAACAAGTCCTTGCTTCATGTGTTTTTAACCTGATAATAGAGAATGGGTGTGTGTAAGGAGTGAAACCCCTGCTACCAAAAAGGGATGTTTTGAAATCCTCCTTGGCTTTGAAGCTGTACCAATCTCTTTGGATGGTTTTTTTACACATTTGTATATAAGTATGTAGTTATTTATGCAGACAGTTATATACTTTTACATATGAATGCATATGTTTACAGGTGTCTCTGTGATTCTGCACAAGAGTGGGTGGGTGTGTCTTCCTTATGCTTGATGGTGATGCTTATTTTTCTTCCAACAGTTCATCAGAATTATGTGGGTATGGATGCAGAGAAGAACCCTTTCTTTCTGTCTGTTGTACTGTCTGACCAAAATAATCAGCGCATTCCTCAATACCATTCAATACTTTGGAGAAAAACAGTAAGAAACAAATACTTAACTGCTGTTCTGACTTTTGTTTGTTTGTTTTGGATATGTTTATCGTATGCTTTTTCCTCTTTCTCCAGAATTCCAGTATTTATTACATATTTTTATTTCATATAATAACATATAATTCTACCATAGTAGATAACACTTAACTAAATTAGCAGATAACATTATACTAAACTTTTTGACAGAAATCTGTAATGTCAGATATTTTTAAATTGTTCTAACAACTGCTTTTTTTTTAGAAATGATGCTTAAATTGTTCTTGGTTACGCCCTATGGTCAATTTAGGCAATGACTTCATATTGCTTTTAGGACTTTCTTGTACAGTGCTACGAAAATAGGCAGGTCTGATACTGGTTTCACTTTTTTCCACTTAACATTCCATGACAGTCTTTTATCCAAGCAATTGTTTTAAAACTCTTCTGTAGGCATGTATGGTTCGCTTTTTTTTATCTTTGCAGCACCCATGAGGTTTTTTTTTCTCTTTATTAGCAGTAAGTATAGCTAAGTAAAATTACCTTTGTTTTCTTCCTTCTTTTTTTAACTTATTTATTAATATTCCTATTTGAATATGCATAAAAAGTTGGTATGTCCTGAAATATATCCTAGCTTTTCTTGTTTACAGGGTACTCAGAAAATATGTCTCCCTTACAGTCCCACAAAAACACTATCAGTGAAATCTATATTAAGGTATGTATTTACAAATTAATTTATCAGTTTAGATATTTGTATGTGTACTTTTTCATGTAATTCAGAGCTTGTGTTCTGTGGTTTTCATGATAAATCTATAAAGACCGTAAAAATGGTTTTGCAAGTCTTAATCAGTGAAAACAGCAAAAAGTGTTTTTAAAGCCTGTTCTTGACCAGACAAAGTGAAAACTTAAAATGGAGAGAAATTCTTAGGACTTTTTCTTCAGCAGAGGGACAATTTCCAAGTTCATTGGAGAACAGGTACTAAATGGAGCTGCAATGTCAGAGAAGAAATATCTTTAAAAATTAGACAATAAAAGGAGCAGAGGAATAGCAGATTTTCACTGGTGGTTATTATGGTCCTAGTTAGGGGGAAGCAAGCAGTCAAGATGCCAAGAATTATTTCTTCAGCTGATAATCTTCATCTAAGTCTCACTATGGGTGTATTATGTACAATGAAGCATAGAGAATTTCTAATTTAACTAGAGTTTGTATGAGCATGCTTGTACTCTGCCCTGCCTCTTTTGTAGTAGAAGAGAATATAAAGTGAGCAGACCCAATGCTGTTTCCATTTCTTCAAACAATTTCATCAGCTGAAATGTCAGAGCACTGGTTTTCAAAGCATTCATTCAAATCTCATCTGCAGTTTTTACAATCTCATGGTGGTGTGTTTTCTCAAATCCCTCACAGAAAATGTCCTCGAATGGAACTTCTGTAGGGATTCTAGCTTCTCTAGGAACCCATTAAGAGTATCTTTTACTAAACAAATAGTGTGTACCAGACAATAGAGTGGTTTGCAGGTTTTTAAAACCTGTGATCTGTATAGAGGAGGTACAAATGTCTCTTATTTGATTGAAGCCAGGCCACCAGTTAACACCGCCAGTGCCTATGTGAAAGGAGAATTCTGGGTGCAGACCATGTGTTTTGGTGTGAAGTCAGTGCCAACAGATCTGGATGTTCCTGCTACTGCACGAGATTAATGAGAGGTCCCAGACTACTGAATTTGCCAGAGAGGCTATCAGGCCTTTGAGCCTCGCTTCTTAAATCTGATTTCCTGGTCTGGGGCTCTGTTTTGGCATGTCAAGATGGTGAGTTGAAAACACTTGAGATATCTTTCATCTTCTTCATCAAGTTGAGCTAGGTGCCCTCTGGGAACTTCTACTGTTTTGGCTTCAATAGTGTTCTTAATTGTCTGTACTGCATTCTTGACTTGCATAAGTACCTGATTTTTCATGTCTGTCCACCAGTCACTGAAGTCACTCTTCCTGACATCCCTTTGCAATGTAGCCTCTCTCTCCACTTCACCCACAAGTGGTTATTTTGTCAGGCATCCCAGGCTGGATAAACTGTCATCTGCTAGCTAGGGCTGTAATTCTATGGCACCCTATTGTGTTCCATCCTGTGATGCTCCAGTAGTCTACAGAGGAAAATGGTAGGCTTGTTTGCTTGTTTCAAACTTTGTTTCTCCCAAGGTCTGTGCCACATGTAGTCAGTTGCATAAGTGTCATCTCCTTTTGCCTGCTTCAGCTTGGACTGAAAACTCTCCCCTGATTTTCTTTTTTTTTTTTTTTTTTTTCCCTCTTTAACGCTCCTTGAGCCTCAGACTTGATTGATAGTCCTTTGACATTTCAACCTGTTCACACCTGATGTAAATATAGGTACACACTATCTCAAAGGATTTTGGTTGCATTAATAAATTTCCTTTTTCTAAATTCTTTGGAATGCTTTAGTATCTTTCAAAAGGAAGTAAAGAAAATCATCTCTGCACTGCAATCTAGCATAAGCAATGGTGGGAAGACTTCACCTCTATGTTAGTTCACTGTGCCCCAGGCAGATTGCATTCAGAGCTCTGTGACATGCTGCACAGTTCTATAATGCTTGGGGAGGGGAAAAGGGGCATAAAAACAATAGTAAATGCAGAGGTATATTTAAAAAAAAATGCTATGAATTAGATATTTCTGTTTATTGAGGCAGTTGATCTTGATTTTTATGTGAATATCTTTTCTGTTCTGCCTGTGAATCATTGCTGTGTGAATTTGATGCAGAACTTCTTATTTTACATTTGTCTTGAATTATTTAAGAAGAGAGAGAACCTAAAAAATAGAATTGGTTATTGAGCCCTCCTAAAATGCTCACAGTGATTATATTTAGAGCCTAAGTGATGTAATAGAGCTCTGTGCTTTATAAGGAAATACATTTAAACCTGATCTCCACACAGCGTCTTACTAATTTCTCTTTTTAAGATACAAAAGAAGTTTAGCAAGTGTTGGAAGTTAGTATTTTGGGAAAGAAATGGCAGTTCCACAAAACGTTCGATTTAACAGAGAATCTTCGAACAATTCATTTTGTAACCGTTGTAACTGCAATCAGTTGGGGGTTCAGCATTCAGCATTGAAACGTGTACTTGCCCTTCTATAAAGCACTATTTAATTTGCATTTCAGTGCTATGAGTCTTGATAAATTTGAGAAGAGCCCAAGAGAAATTTTTCATCCTGAGATACAAAAGGTAGGAAGTGACTTTTTTTGTTTGGTTCTTTTTCTTTATTATTTTCTGGAAATATAAGTAATTAAGTATAAATACTACTAGTTTGTTTCTTCCAGTAGCAGTTAATAATGATGATTGTACGTAATACTACCTAAACTGTCTTTATCCATTGAACTGGCCATTTCAAATCAAAACTTATAAAACCGTCATCCTTGTAGCCTCTTTAATATGAGTGTGCTAAAGATACTATTTTTGTTTACAGGATTTATTGGTTCTTGAAGAGCAAGAGGTAAATATAAACCTAACTACTTCTAGCTCACAGACCTGTCCAGTGAATACAGCTGTGGATTTTGATGTGCTTATGATGACTTTGAAATAAATTGCTGATTACAGTAAAAAAAATTAATGCTTTTTGAACATGACAACAAAAATAACTTTAAGCATCAACTTAATAATAATAGATCACCAATTTAAATTAATAATTTTTTGCTATACTGTAGAAGTTTAAAGGTAAATTATTATGTATTAGGAGATGGTATATAGGAGATGGTATAAAGTGTATGTTCTAATGTATAGGATGTATACAAAGATACATACATTAAAGTCCTTAGGGGAAACAAATTTTTAGGTCTTCTGTTTGAATGTCTGTTTATCATATAAAATTTGGTTTTATTTCTCAGGGATCGGTGAATTTTAAATTTGGAGTCCTTTATGCTAAGGATGGTCAGCTTACAGATGATGAAATGTTCAGTAATGGTGAGTTTTTAACCTTCTCCTTAATTGATTTGTTCATCTGAATTTAAAAAAAAAGCAAGGTAGTGCCTACAGCTGGAAGCAGGGTGGGAGGTAATGGTTATATGAACAGTCGTTTAGTTTGATTTCATGTGTTGGGTGAAAAATTGTCTCATAGGGCTTTCTATGTCTGTAAGAAGTTGCAGTAGGAAGCCTACTGTAACAGCTTGAAAGAGAGTGAAATCTCTCTTCTAGAAATAGGCTGTGACATGAACGTTTAGAAAAAAGAAGAATTTGAAGGAGGCCACTCACTAACTCACTGCTTGTAGTTCTTTCACTCTTTTACAGCATGATCACGTTCTCCTATGCATTTGAACAGCATTGGTGCTAGCAAAAGAGGTCACTGTTTAATGTCATGTGATAATGCCTATTCTGCACGGTTGGGGTATTGTTTCTGGAAAGGCAGTAGGCTTGGTAGCCAGGAAAGGAAACTAACTCAGCTGAAACTTGTGTCCCAGATGCAGGACCCATTTCCTGATTTTGGTAATTTTTAAGATATGTTCTATTAGTATGGGTGTGCTTTTTTGGTAACATTTCTCCCTTCCACATGTAGAAACTGGAAGTGAAAGCTTTCAACGATTTTTGCAACTCTTGGGTGACACAATTACTTTGAAAGGCTGGTCTGGCTACAGAGGAGGACTGGACACTAAAAGTAAGAACTCATCTGAAGCAATGAAATGGGGGTGGAGCTGCATTCTAAATGTTTCTTCTTATTTTTTTTCTTATTGTTTCATAACCACGATATATACAATATGTAAAATATGTAAAGTATTGTATATATCATGGTTATGAAACAATCCCAAAACGGGCTTCCTAGTATATGTACTAAATGCTCTACTTGACCAGGAAAGAGTCAGATCAGCTTAAGTCACTGGTATGGAAGGCAGTTATGTCAGGTATTATCAGGGCGAACTGTTTCATTTTAAGTTGGAATGAGGTGAACAATAACCTGGCATGTTACTTGCTTCATGATAGAAGGACATTGTGGCTTGAAGACCCGTGTGATTTCAGGAGGGTAGGTGAAAGGTGTTGCAGGTTTTAAATGTGAATATACCGATTAGTTGCAAACTTGGGTTTGGACTCACATGACCCATGCGGTGTGGATGTTTTCTAAAATGGATCAGACAAAAAAGGACAACCGAAGAAGATTCAGGAGAAAGACTTGAAGTATCTTTTGATCCTCAGAAAACTTACAGGAGATACTCCTTCTTAAAATGTTGCCTTCCCTTGCAGATGATACAACAGGAACCTGTTCCATCTATACAGTTTTTCAAGGGCATGAAATTATGTTCCATGTTTCAACCATGCTACCGTATTCTAGAGAAAACAAGCAGCAGGTACATGGTTCTCTCTTTTTTATTTCCATATTTATTTGTTAAATCACAAACTACAAAATTTTATAAGAAATAAAGGATTTCTTGTCTGTTAATATTTGAGAAATGTAAGCCTTGAGACTTCCGCACTTTTTTTCCTCAATATTCTACCTGATGCTGAAAATTTAATGATGTTTATTAGAGATAATGCGTCTTGTCATCTCCATTAGGTACAAAACATACTTATGAATAAGATCTAAGTTGCTTCACTGACAAGTGATTAAGTGTGATGGTCAGATGACTTGAAGAGCTTCACTGCTGTAATTGTTACCTCAAAGACTTTAGGAAAACTGAAAGTTAGCCTTGTGTGTGAATTGTAGGAATATTCACATGTTTAACACATTACTCCTGCTTGAGTAGCAATTAGTGTGGCTTGAAAGAAATTCCCCTTGTGAGCATGTTAATGTTGATAACCATAAAGAAGTGCCGTCACACTGCCATGGATTACCTAGGTGGGTTCTTGTTCAAATGTGCTGTCATTCATTGCTCAGACCTTTCTTTGTATTTATGATGAAAAAAATACTTTATAGGCATGTGTGTTTACTATACATCATACATCCATAATAATTTACCTAAATTACTTAAAAATTACTTGATTTAATATTTATTATGTATTCTTACAGTAATATTTTAGACCATATAATTGGAATGTACTTTTACTGTTTCCATGTCAGTTTTCTCATGCTTTTTGCTTGGACTGACAACAAGATCACAGAGGACAACGGAGGCCAATCAGGATTTTTTTTTTTTTTTTAAAGAATAATTAGCACCAGAGTTTTTTGTCCTTTTATTTCAAGCATTAGATTTCCTTTTTTTGGAATGTTAGAGTTTCCATGCCTGATTCATTAATATTAATTATGGAAACTATGAGTGCTTTTCTAAGCATATGCAATATCTATTTTTCTAGAACCTGCCTTGTTGTGTGCACCATGTCATTGCTAGGTTTACTTGCTTATAGTTAAGTAATGGTTTTATATTGCACTCAGTCATAATGACTGTAATTTTTCTGTTTGCAATTTAGGAATATTGTTTTATTATTCTGTCACAGAATTGCTAAGATATTTATTTATGTCTTGTAAGTCACTGTGTCTATATCTTTTTTTTTTTTTTTTTTTCTTTTTTTTTTTTTTTTTTTTTTTTTTTTTTTGCCTCCTCTTTCTTTTTTTCCTTTTTTGTTTTCCTTTTTTTTCCAGGTAGAAAGGAAGCGACATATTGGAAATGACATTGTCACTATCATATTTCAGGAAGGTGAAGAGTCTTCTCCAGCATTCAAGCCGTCCATGATTCGCTCTCATTTTACACGTATCTTTTTCCTGACATTTTCTAATGCCTTTTTTTTTTTTTTAAGATCAATATTACTTTTAATTCTGACCTAATTCCTCCCTGTATGCTGTTTATGGAAGTGAAAATTATTTTACAAAGACAGTTTGATTCTTGCATTCTTCACCTTCTGCAACATCAAATTAAATTCGTTAGAAGATAAGGCAAAAGCAAGAATGTGAGTTTTAAATCATTTTATTGAAAGCATTTATTTGTATCATTTCACAAATCTAATTTTATACAATTTCAAAAAATACAAGTTCATAAATATATTTCTCTTAATATTGTAGATTATTTTGGCATTTTACTAAATATTGCCTTTCAATGTTTAGATGCTGTTTCTTTTAAATATTTATGTATTTTAGATCAGTATTTGTCAAAATTTTCAGACCATTTACCATATATTTTCCAGTTTTTTAACAGCCTGTGTTTTTCAGACTTTTGGTTGAAAACATTTTGAAGACTATATGATTGCAAAAACTAGCGGGCAATCTCTTGGAATTACCGTGGGATCACAATCGTAGCAATCTGCAGACCCCAACCTGTCATGTGTTAGACTAGATGGAATGGAATGAGGAAAACTGAATGAAAATAAGAAAACTCTTAATTTCTGTCCATACTCTGTTGCTGCGTTTTAAAAAATTATCACAACGCCTAAGACTTCCACACCTAGTTCTCAGGCAGGCTAAATGTTCCTAGACTGAATAAAGACTGGAAAAAAAAAATCTTTACATATCAAAGGAACCTAAATACTAAGAAAAATTGTTTACCACATCAATGTAACTCTACAATAGAGGATCAGCCTTAGTACTTGCACTTTAAGTCATTCTCTTATCTTTCCTATAATTCTGTTAGCTAAATTGTTTCATTGGAATATTTTCTTCAGTGGAAGCTTTGGTATGAACAGAATTCAGTATCAGTACTGCTTTATCAACTAAAAGAATTTTTAATCACAAATATATAAAAAAGACAAACTTCTATAGTATGTCTTATGCTGTGTCTGTGGGAGTAGCTTGATTTTTAAAACTGCTGATCAAGCAATAACATTTTTGTACAGAACCCTTTTTATAAACAGTAAAATCTGTATAGTCTAGAATTGTTTATATATTTACATTGACTTGATTAATATATTTTACCTTAATTAAATCTGCAATGTACTGCAGGAAAAGAAAAGTTTATTAAAATACACATGAGCTTTAGTAGAACTGGATTAACTTCCTTAACTGTATGACAGATATTTTTGCTTTAGTGAGATATAATAAGCAGAATGATAGTTACAGGTAGGTGCTGATTGTAATAAATAATTTCACAATGAATTACTGATTGTTTAGAGAAAATGGGAGAACATTTTGGCAATGGGAGAACTTTCTGGCATATAGACAGGTCCACCTGTCTGTATGACAGGAAGCCAAATGAGCTTTAGAAACTGAAGAGCAATATGGACCTTTATGCAGATGTCACTAAACTGGCTATAAGTAGCGGGTTGTTAACTATTGGAAAAATTAAATTCTGAAACAGGCATAAGCTAAGGGGGAAACCCAAAACTGGTTTTTAGATGAAGTATAAAAAGTGATGAAGGATACACTTGGAACTTTCAGACCCTGTGAGATCAATGGCATAGTAAATGACGTGGATGATGAAAGTTAATGCATATGCTGTTGTGATATCCACGGACTACAAGTCCTTACAAACCGCAGTTTAGCTGTAGTTGAGCAAACTAATTGATTTTTAGGGATTTTAATAGAGTACTTGTATAGTTGAATGTCACGTACTGAAAACCTAACAGAATTTTACATGTTACTATGTTTTTTCAGCATTCCATTAAATCTAACTCCAGAGAAGAATGATACTTCAGTTTGTGTATGTGGGTTTTTTTCCCCTGCTTCCTATTTACAGCTAAGGTTTCTTTTGGGTCATGTCTGTAATGGAGTTAAGCAAAGGAATAGTTTTATTTGCTTCAAGATCTTGTCAGCTTCTTCTTGCAAATTTGTTTAAATTGATTGTCCTCATAACTTCTGCTTTTCGGCATTCCTAGGTTTGTGAGAAACACAAAACATGTTAATGATTCCAATGTGCAATGAGAATGCAGTCACTTCTTTCTTCTCACTTTGGGACAGAAACCTGGGCATACGTCCCTCATTACCCTTTAATAAGTGATTGTTGTCCTGATTTTAAACTGATACAGTCTGTAGATGGGTTAGCCATAGTAAAATGCTTTTTATATGGCTCTTTATGTGGGAAAGGAAATGAGTTGCAGTATATAAGATAAATTTGTCTTTTTTGCATTAAGTAACTGGCAGCTTTTACTTAGATCGTCCATCTTAGTTGCTTCATTCTGCCAGTCTTTACATATCTTGCTGTAGTACATGTCACATAGTATTTTTTTCCTATATGAAAACCTTAGAACATTATATTTCAGCTTGCCCCAATTGCATTTCCTTCTGTCCTTTCATTATAGGCCTGAATAGAACTTGTTCCTTCTCTTACTTTTGTGTGTGTGTGAAGACAGTCTTCCAAGTGGCCAAAATTTCAGTCATAAAGGAGATGGGATGCTCTAGGCTTTTGAGGCAAATTTTCCTTGTTTCAAATGCAATACCACTATAAGTTCTGATACTGAATTTCTGCTTAGAATGCCTTTATATTTTATGTCACTCAGGAAGTCTATTTTTTAGTCAGTTTTGTTATGTCTTTCCCTGTCATAATTCATTCTGGTCTAGTCAAGGAACATGTCACACCTTTTGTAGTTATAATTGATTGCTTTTTTTACCTGGACATCATTAAATAGAGATAGGGCATCTATGAAACTGTGTCTCAAATATGTGAAACAAATATTAGGATGATCAATAGTCATGCAAACATAGTACTGCGATACTGTATGTAGTTCCTAAGCTTTCAAGAAAAAAGACTGTATGAAAGCATTGTGATCCATTAGACTCAATATCAGTCAGTCACTGCTGGTTTTTGGAGAAAGCAAATTCTGTCTGGTTTCTAAAATAGCAGATACGGGTTGAATCTATAATTTTGCTACTTAATTTGCTGTGAACTGTGTCATCTGTACATGCCGTTTGGAAGACTTGTCAGCGAACTATCACGTTAAATAGCCAAGAGTGATTACTAATCTTAAAGAAGCTATGTCCTGATGAACAAATAAACATGGGTTTTGTATCTGCCATTCAATATTGCTATGCTGGATTCCTTACGGATCAAAATAACTCAGCAGGTCCAGCTGTCACAGAAGTTATTCTGACTCTGTCTTCCTCAGTGAAAATGAATTTCCTGTTCCCAAGCTACAGATTCATATGTTGTAAGCCATTGTTACTTTGAAAGCATCAAATATTTCATGTGTGTGGTGAATACATAGGGAAAGTGGAAATCTGTAAGGAGAACATATTTTGTAGGTGATGACCTGTTCTTTTACAGTGTTTTTGAACAGGACCATATTTTGCTACTGCCACTGAAACTATTGCTGCATAAGTAGAACCGTGAAGTTCTGTTCCAATTCTATGTCCCAGTGTTAGTTTGTGTAAAAGAAACATGACTTTGTTCTGCTGAGTAATTCCAAGTGAGTCTTTTTTTGTTATGCCCTTTGAAAGACACCCAGATAACAGTTTCCATTTTTTTTTCTTTGGTTCTGAATAGTGTCTATAAAAAAGGTAGGGTTTGAATGTGACTTTCAATGTAAATAAAGATTTGTACTTTCAATAGGCTGAAAATATTTTCAGAAGAAAGTGTTCCTCTCTTTGGGCCTCCCCTTCCATCCCCACCTGTGTTTACAAATCACCAGGAATTCAGGGATTTTGTGTTGGTGAAATGTAAGTCAGTTTTTCTTTTGCTAGGAACACTCTTTTAATAATTGTGTTAACAAATTAAAATACATGGTGCTTAAAATGTATATGCATTTTCTTGTGTATTCTGCTGATCTATATGCAATTATTTTTTTCACATCTGTAGCATAGTTGGGATGTCAGTTCCATCAAACTGTTATGGTCAGATTAACAAAAACAATTCTTCTCAGGCTACTAGACAGAGGCTGACTTTTGCATTTGCAGAACATGCAGTCATATTTAGCTTTGCATTTTTGTAAAGGGCTTGGGAGATCTGAAAGGATTTATAATGCTGTTCATTATTTAGTAATAGAAGGTGTTAATTTAGTAGCTCTGAAAATGAGAAAATAGCATCTCTTCTGCATGTACTCTTAAAGGTGCTGAAGGACGCCAATGCAGCATATTTTAATTCTGTAATCATTCAGTTCCAGTTTTCATTGACCTGTATTTGCCTTTCTAAATCAGCAAGAAAGCAATCTTTGAAAATTGACCATGTGGATTGCAATTAGACCTGACAGGAGCTTGATGGCCCATTTTGCGTATTTAAATTATTTAGTACTTAAACTGACCAGCAGTTTGTCTTTAGCTTTTTTATTATTTAGGTATTTATTCTGATGCCTTGTGGAATTCTTCTATTACTAATTTTTCTCCTTTAACTTAAGGGAGAGTTGTTCACTTAAAAAAAGCAAAAAGGAGGCAATTCTAAATTAATAGGGGCAGAGCAGGTATTTTGGTACAGAGGCAAACTAGAGTTGGTGGAGATTCTTGAAGTTCATTTACATAATGTATCTTTCTTCTATAATCTTTTAGTAATAAATGGTGAAAAAGCTACCTTGGAAACACCAACATTTTCTCAGAAACGTCAACGCACTCTAGACATGCTGATCCGCTCTTTATACCAAGACATGATGCCTGACCTACACAAGGGAAATGTAAGTCAGCTGCATCCCTCACATAGGCTGTCCTGTTCTAACTAGTAGCTTCAATGTTCTGTCACTTTAAAGGACTGTAATCCTAATGAGCACTGAATTTCATATGATTAAGATAAATACCAATTATTGTATAACTTACTTTACAGTTATATGAAAGCCGCCAGTCCTTTCTGGACAGGACTCTTCACCAGGTGTAAGGAGAAGCATAAAAATGTAATACTTTGTGTAAACTTACCTGCAGCAAGGGAATAGGAAATTTAGACACTATAAATACAGGCATTAGTCTCATCACCATAAAATCTGCTTTTGTTCTGTTATGTGTAAATTTGGATGATTGTTACTCCTGGTTAGCTATGAGGTAACTTTATTTTGGATGATGAAGGCTTACTCCTGAGGTGATTCTTAACTAAGTAAAAATAAGTTCTGTACTCTAAAACTAACAAGGTGCTATTTTTTTTTGACCACTGTTTATTTCTTTTATCTATATAGATCTACTTAAACTTTTAATATATTCATGTCACATATTCATGTGGTGTGATTGTACAGAACATGACAGTGGTAAACTATGACAAGTTGTAAGGTAAAGCACTGAAGGATTGGAAGAGTTGCAGTTTCTCTTCTCTGAGAAGCTGTGCAGTTAGAAAGAAACTTTTTCTGTTTTAGAACATGCTTAATAGAAGATCCTTCAGTGATGTGTTACCAGAGTCCCCAAAAGCAACACGGAAAAAAGAGGAAGCTCGACAAGCAGAGTTTGTTCGGCTTGGTCAGGTAGGATCAGTTTAGAAGGTATGCAGCTATGTTTACAAAGGCTGTGTCACTCCTTTTGTTAGACTTTGATTACCTTGAAGTTATGTTGGAATTTAATGCAGTTTTCCATGACCAGAAATAGTTTTCTAGTACTGCATTATTGTAAGTTACACATTAAAATAAAACATAAATAGAAGTATTTATATGTAACTCCTGAGGTATACATGTACAAATATTTATATCGTACATGAGTTAAATTAAGGCTGTAAAAATTGTACCTTAGGATCAAACCTGAAAGGTCTTTCCCTGCTTTGTGCATTGGATGCTTTCTCCAAGTGGAAGAGTGCTTTTTCTGTGCTTTGGGAAAACAATCTTTCATGGATTTCCTCTGTATGTTTTTAAATATTGAATTTCTTAGAAAATTAGACTTCTTTAGTCAGAAAGAAATTATGATAGTCTTTGTCAAATCAGAGTTTGCCACACATCTTTGAGATTGCTGACTACAGTCTTCTATGGGATTACTAACTTTTTGATCCTGTGAAATGTACAACCTCCCGATGATATAGATTAGTCTGCTTTGATCTGACAGTTCATTGCAGCAAAAAAAAAGCCAACAGTACCTATGCTCATCAGCTCCCCTGTCCTTTCTCGCTTGTTTCTTCTTGATCCAGACTGGTCTAGTGGATCTGCAGCTTATCTTAAGAATACTTCTTTTCTGAGCTGATTTAACTCAGCAGGAGTTAACAAAGCAAAAACAAAGACAAAAAAAAAAAAAAAATCCAAAACAAACAAAAAGCCTAAACTCAACCAACCAAAAAAAACCCTCCACAAAACAAAACTGACCCCAACTACCCAACAAAATGCAATCAACCAAAAAAAAAAAACCCCAAAACCCGACTACCAACAAAACTCAATTATTTTCTCTCCCTTTTTTATCTTAGTAAGTTAAAGATTAGAAGAGTCTAAGTTCTAGATGTGGTTAAAGGTAGAGAATGGAGCTAGACAGATGAGAGCTAACAGATCTAGTTGAGACCCATTTGTTAAACAAGTCCTCCATCCTCAATATGGTCTTCATCAAAAGGAAACCTATTATGTGGGTTATAAATTTGTCAATACCTGTTAGTGTTTTTCTTGGAGGTTCTTTTAGCATTTAACCATTTCCCTACCCTAAAAGATCTTTCCTCTGAGTTACAAACCATAGGCCTGACCATATTTCGAGATACCTTCCAAGTAACTCAATCATTCTTGCCAGACTAGGAATGTATTTCCCCTTCAATTATAGCCAGTTGACTTTTTGGACAGTGGACAAAATTCACTGATAATTGATTCAGTTGTATATTTAAATAATTTTTTTATTGTCAAGGTGATCTTTTCTGACTGTTGATATGGAATTAAAATGTTCATACAATGAAGTATTTATGCATCTCTCTAAGCTGGCAGCCATGTTTAATGCAAATGTGTAAGTGATGCATGCAGGTGTTTGCTACCATTTTCAGAGAGCCATGCATCATGGTAGGCAAACTCTAGGGCAGTAAAACTGGTTTAGGTTAGTTCTAAACTTTGCATTAAGGTATGCTGTGACAATTCCACGTATCAAACTCTTCAAGGAATACTGCTGTGAAAGTTAGCAGTGAAGGAATATAGGCTACAGTAACAGAATTACTGTGTAAGTCAATGAAACTACGTATATACTATACTTCTGTGGAAGTTTTGCTCCTTTCAAAATCACCTTGCTTCTTCTAGTTAGTTCTAGTTGAAGTATTTGTGATCCAGTGACCAACTGTCCTTGGGATGCCTGGCAATATATGTAGACAGACATATATAGAGTTTGCCTTATTGTTAGGAAGGTTTGCAAGTCAAAGGTCAGTTGATATATATATACGTATATATATATATATATATATATATATATATATATAATATAATTGACAAGAGGATCCTATATCTGGGTAGATTATAAAGTAAACTGTGTAGATGGTTAGATTCTGTAGTTTGAGGTGGAGGTCTTTCTCTGTTACTACGTTTTACTCTTCTTTTCTGAGTTGCCATTTAGAAAGCAAGTAAACAAAAAAAATCTAACCAAGAAACAGCCAACATAGGTTTTGGCTGAGAAGATGCCTAGTAACTATCTGACATTGTTGAGGGTACAGAATTCTGCTTTTTTTCATTACTTAAAATGGCATAGAAATTCCAAACTGGAATTGCTTTCTAGTCCTAAATTGTCCTTTTAATATAGTCTTTAGTTTGGGTATTGCTGACAAAAACTCAGTTTAAGTAAAACATCTGTTTGTATTAGGCACTGAAATTGAAAACCACTGTGAAAGGGGATACCACAGCTAACTTGGCAACCACAAGCTTTTGTAAAAAGGAGGTGAGTGAAACCGTCAGAGAAGTTATGGAACATTAAACATTATCTAGTATGGTATATGCTTATTTACTTCTGTAATTAGATGCTGCAGCAGAAATGATGAAAGGTACAGTGTCAAAGTGATTCTGCAGTCACTATTAGATTAATAAAAGATGAGCCTGGGGGCAGAAGCACTTCTTAAGTAAAAGCAAGTGTGGACATTTTTATACCTGAGAAAATTCAATTAAGGTGACATCTTCCATATGCAATCATCTTTTATTTTCATTTCAGCATGTTTGAAACAAGATTGTGTTTTCATTTCCTTTCATTTCACTTAGATTTTGTTTGAAGTTATTAGGGAGTGAAATATGTCAGCTGCACTCTTCTGCATGTGTTTTATATACAGAAGCTTCAGAAGTGCTTCTAGAATTTCAGAGAGTCCAACTAATATATAAATTGGGAAAGGAGGGACAGGCTCTGGGAGGTAAGTACAGAGAATACAGGATGCAAGAACAATTTGGCAGAAAGGCAGTTTTAACTGTACCACTTGCTAGTCACTAAACACCACAAACTGAACCATAAAATGTAAGCAAACTGCATATGCATATTGGTACATACATTTTAAATATATAGGTTTGGGATTTTTAAATGAAAAAAAATATTGTGTGATGGTTGCACTGAGTTTCAGCTGCATGTGTTTTTAATTCTAGCATTTCAGGTATGTGTCTTACACTTACTAGTCTCCAAACCAGAATTGATGCAGAAAGTCCTCTGCAAGAAAATTCAGTTTTAATATTTCAAATTCCAACAATATACTGTTTGGAAATGTATCCTGTCAAAAGCATTTACATGTTATTGCCATTGTCCATCACATTCTGTGTCTGTATGATCTGTATTTTTTAGTGTACTTAATATGTATCCCTTATGTTACTTCATAGCCTTGGGAATCTCAGTCTTTCTGCAGTAATTTTCCTCATGAGGTTGTCTGTGCAGATTCTTGGGGCCAGTCCTTGCTGGTTTCTACAGATGCTGGCATCTTGTTAATAGATGGTTAGTAAATGATCTAGTGTTTTTGTGTCAATTTTTATGTATCTGACCATTTTCTTGAAAATGTGTGTTCATAAACTTTCTTTAGGTGTTAGTAAGTATTTATGTAGGGGGATAGTTACTAATCCAAGTAAATCTATTACATTTATGTAACCTAGTTGCGAAAATTCATTCTGCAGTAGAATCAAGCCATATTGGGGAGCTAGTGTTAATGCAGATTTCTGAATGTGTTCTTGTTTCAGATGTTGTTTTCTTGACCGTCTGAAAAGCTCTAGGAGGTTGCATCCAGGTTCAAGAGATGTCTAAATGGCTTGTCTGGTTTTCTTAGCCCTTGATAATAGTGCGCATGAAGCCAAGGGCTTATGTGACAATGAAATCCTACTTCTTCCCTTAGCAATGATATTGCTACTCTGACCTCTTATAATCCTCTGTGTGCTATGTAAGGCCAGCGGGACTGAGGGAATGAAATTAGTGCTTGGTCATAATTCTCAAACTTGCCAAAGGAATGTCACTTTTACGTTTCTGTCACTTAATCTGATTCATGACAATAATAAAAGTGTTCTCTGAGGAAATATTGACTATAATGCTGTGGCACATGTAGGAGCTTTGTGCGGTTCTTTTTGGGTTTTTTCCTCCTCTTTTTTGTAAGGAAAAAAAACCCAAGACTTTAATTAGAAGAAAGATACGGTTCAAAACCAGCATCTAGCAAGTTTTGGTGGGGTTTTGAATACATGTGTGTTTATTTTTTAGATGGTCAACCGTCAGTGCAAGTATTTGATAAAACTCTCCAAATAAAGCAGATGAATGTGTTGGAAGCTCTGGATCTTTTGATTGCCCGAACAGACAAAGGTAGGAAGAGGACCCTGTTCTTGGATTCTTGCATGACTCTGGGTATTGCTGGGTATATATGTCTTGTGACAATTTTGTCTCTTTTAGAAGGATTAAATGTGCATAAAGTGTGGACTTTTTTTGTAAGGTGGTTTTTACCCTATAAAAGAGTAGTCTGTCATTGAGTTTCATAAAGGGAACATACACAAAGCAAGATCAAGAACTTTATGTATAATTCAGGAAAGCATTACAGATATGGTTGGTTTATTATTTTTTACCCTGTTACGTCTGCTTTCCTCAGTATTTGCTGAAGTGCTTTGGGTAAAACATGGTTCCTTCTGTATCACTGGGAGTTGCCTGATTTGGTTGCATCTGGTGAAATTCACCCTGAAATCTTACAGAACTAGTTCAAACTACATGAGAGCCATTTGCAGTTCTCTCAAGCCTGGAGAATGGGTGACATTTTGAGGATGTGGGAAGTGTAGTTATGTCAAAGCTTAGTTTGTGAAATTTCTAGAGAAAGTTTTTCTATATCCTGAAGGGTTCAAACTCTATTGAAGAAGTTATCAGTTGCTCACCTGGATGGTTCCAGCTCTTAAAGTTAGCCCTTTTGCTCTTGCCCTGTAGATTATATCTATTGTATTTTTGTTATTTTGCAAGATTTTATGTATTTTCAAAATATTGTGCATTTCACTGTTTGCTTAGATCATTCTTTGGTGCAGCACCACCTAATGGGAAACTTGGCTACTGTACTGAAGGGGTTGGTTACTACAATTGTAAATCCTAGACAGTTCATAACTCTTCTGTCCCCAGAAAGGTATTATGCTTTGTTTACTTTTGTTCTGCTTGTTAGGTGCTGCTTCTTGTCAGAGGTATTAATTTCAAACTACCATGGTCTTTTTTTAACTTCTTTTTTCCTGGTTCTCTCCATATATCAGGGAAAGACTCTCGTATCCTTGTCTTCAGACTCAGTGCTGTCCAAAAAGATATGGAGACAAAAAAAAATATAAGAAGCAAATATGACTGCAGAGAGAATAAACTGGAGAGAACAAAAGGTGACATTGTTATCCTGTGTTAAAAACATCCACTCTGCTTTAATGCTGGTAGTTGCCAGGGCATTATTAGCTCTCTTTAGGCAGGTGTAGGTGTTCACTTTTAGTTTTTTCTCTGGGCAAGTCAATTCAAACTTTTTTAAGCTTATATTTGAAAATTGCTCTGGTACAGTCCAGCATGACATTTTTGAATGTTGTAAAAAAAAACCATGTTACTTGGAAATTGCTGATGACGAAAAGCTTTAAACAAAAAGAGGATTTCAGGGTTGGGAGATGATATGAGGAGAATTTTGTGGGGATGTTAGACTGAAATAAAGCACACTTTAAGTTGGACTGGAATACTGGCAGATCCCCTATTACACAGGAGTGCTTAGATTAGTCTGGGTGTTGCCCATTATTTTTGTAGAAATAAATGCTTCCTGGTCTTCAGAAGCAAGCTGCTTTGAAAAGCTGAAAGTTGCAGAATAGTGACAATCCATATACTTCAGATTAAAGGTAAAAGTAGATTTCAAAAGGGTCATAAGTTTTTTCTTTTCCTAGAAGTCGATGTAATCATATTGAGGAGTTTTTAATAAGTTTTTAATTCTGTATTGCCAAGTCATCCATCAGAGCCCTGTTGTACTAATCATCATACAAATACAGAACAAAAAAATTAGACCCTATCCCAACCACTTAGAGTCTAGAACATTATTTCCTCAGGCTGCCATTTGTATGCCATTAATACTCACCATGGAAGTGAACTGAGGATTGTTGCGGCTATTCGGAATAAGCTACTTCTCGTTACAAAGAAATATAATTCAGAAAACACTTCAACTAGCACCTCTCTGCTATCATCTCCTGAATCTCCAGTAGAGGAGTTCCAGTACATCCGGGTATGTGTACTCTAGTAACTAATTATCTTAACACACTGAGCAGCACTCAGCTAGTGTGGGGGATGTGGGGAAGGCAGAGTATGCATTATAATTTTCCTGAACCTACAGACAAATAAAAGTGAGAAGCCATATGGTGGAGTTAAATGATATATATATACTAAATAAAGCTTTCAGATTTTTTAAAGAATTTTTTCTGCTGCTTCTTTGTTATGCTTCTGTGCTTAGAAAACATCCCTTTAAAATCATAGAGTACTTGCAGCACCCACAGTAGGAGCTTGAAAAAGAGTGTAATTCTATTATTTACGTTATAGGAAATATGCCTTTCTGACCCTCCAGTGGTTATGGCGCTGGTGGATGGACCTACTGGAGACAGTGACAATATGATCTGTGTAGCATATCGGCATCAGTTTGATTTAGTCAACGAGAGTACAGGGGAGTCTTATAGATTGCATCATGTTGAAACAAACAGGGTAAGTTTTCATCATTAAAACTTTCTTGCAGACCCCCACTGAGCATAATTTGTTGCAGACTCAGTGCATGCTGTTCTGACCTCCTAGGAGTGTAATTTATGAAGAAGCTCATCTGTACTGCTTCTTACTTCTATAACCACTGCTTTAGGACACTCTGAGATATTCCTTTTGGGATACATGATGATAACTCCCAAGAGAGTAGTTATAAGATATGACATTGGGAAAAAGCCTGTGTTTCATGTTCTGGAATGTTGTTATTGTCAAAAAATTATTTTTCTTCCTTCTTAGCCAGTAGTTAGCTTTTTGCTTTATTTTTGTGGTATCAATATTTTATTGTTTAAAAAATTGCTTCAAAATAACTTTAGTGGTTGACCACCGGTATCTTATTCAGATTTGCCTATTTGCGTGTTGTTAAAATATTTACATAGAGTTTATAATTCTATTTAAGAAAATGCTGTCCAGTGAACTAATAACTGAATATCTATCTGTCTAGGACATAGGGATAAGATTTAGGTAATGTCTTTGTTTTCAGAAAAAAGTTCCAGTATAGTTTCTAAATAGGGATGTGGACATGTAGCTTTAGACAAAAAAAAAAAAAAATTATTTTGCACAGGTGATCTGTTGTTGTTGTTGTTAAGGAGATAAGGGACTACTTTTTTCATTTGATGGTTCGTGATAAGTTATTTTCTTTTTAAATCGTCTCTGTTTTTATTCGGATCTGGTGATGAAGAGGTTCTCCTGGCATTGTTGATCAAGTGGTAAACTTCACAGCACTGGGAATCAATATTGCCTGGATGAGGAGGAGCTAAAAGTAAAGAATGGGGATGGAGAAGTACATCACCATCGCCATCCACCAGTCCCTTTTCCACACTGGAGTCCTTATTTCCTTTTGGAAGACAAATAAAGCAGGAAATTAATATGAGCTGAGACAATGATTTTTATGTTGAAATGGGTTGCCTTCTTATTTCTCTGGACAACAGAGCAGCAATGGTTTTCAGTCACTACAAAAGATGGGTCAAAATGCATTTGGTATGGATGCATAAATGTTCAAGTTTTCTTAACAGTTCTTGACCTGCACAGTTATCTTAAATGAAGGAAAGTCAAAGAACTGCTGTTCTGGAATCAATATCTCAGCCTTCTCCCTGTCCAAGTAACCTTATGCATTTCACTAATAAGATGTCATTTCCTGAACAGATATCCTAATTTTTGTGGCTGTTTTGGTTTGTTTTTAATCTAAATGTAAAAGACAAAACCAAAGTTGAATTAAGGTAATTTATTTAGCCTAATATATTTTTAAAATACTGTGGTTTAACCAGCATTGCTTCTCAGTTTGTAAATTCAGACTGTTCAGTAATCCTTAGGTACATCCCTGTTGACCCCTGTAAATGTTAGTGGTTTTAAACCTGTAATTGTTGTATCTGATCTTTTTGCTAGTCATGATGTGCAGTTGAAGATCACTTTTTTAAAAGAATTGTTATCTTTACTGTACCATGTTGATTCACAGGTTTCTGAAATCATCCTATTTCCCAAAATTTGTATTGCTAAACAAGTTACATGTTTTTATTGCTTTACACTGTGGTATGGTATACAAAGGAAACAAATTTTCATCTTGACAGCATCCTGAAAATTACATCACAAAAGAAGCTATTTTTTTATAAATTTATTTATTTATTTATTTCTCTCCCCTTTTTTTTTTCCCTTTTACCTGTGGTTGTGCACGTTCCCAACTGATTGTATTGCTTGTTTGTCACAACCCAGTTGTAATAACCACAGTATCATCTGCCTGTTTGTTAATCTTTTCCATTATCATTGCAGGTTAATTTTGTTGCAGCTATTGATGTATATGAAGACGGTGAAGCTGGTCTACTGTTGTGTTATAACTGTAAGTGTTTTCGGAAGGCCAGAAATGGTAATAGCTCAATCTGCATATGTAGATCTTCTTTCATTGGAGTCTAGGTCTGTATCTGAAAATAATGGTAATAGCTCAATCTGCATATGTAGATCTTCTTTCATTGGAGTCTAGGTCTGTATCTGAAAATAATGGTAATAGCTCAATCTGCATATGTAGATCTTCTTTCATTGGAGTCTAGGTCTGTATCTGAAAATAATTTTTAGTGTTTCCTGAAAAGGTTGTCAAAATACATTCTTTGGAACATAAATGCAAATTGGAGAAATTAGACATACAAGTATTTTAGTTATACTAGTTGTTTTATAGATGTGCAGGTTATATGATTCATAAAATCTTGGTGTCTGTAATAAACCATGTGCATAACAGTCCTCAAAGAATGTAAATTACATTAACTATATATGGCTACTTGAAGGGCAGACAGGTACAATTCTGCAGACACTGCTTTTCTGAATTTTCCTTGCCTGTTTCTGTATCTATAGACAAGTTAGGGACCTGGTAACTGTTGAAACAGTAATACTTCAGGAACTATGACAGCTTATTAAAACATAGGTCTTCTATTTTGGTCTTTCCAATGTGTTCACAAAGAAAGCAAATTTTGCTTAGCTGTTTGGCTTTAGAGGGACTTTTACATGAATGTTTGATAGTGTGCATAATGTCCACCCTTCTGAAAAATCTCCATATAAAATGGGTGGTGGTCACTTACAGTGTAAAGTGCTTCTTTTTTCTGTTTTGCTGCAGATGTTTGTCAATACAGAAAGGTATACCCTTTCAATGGAGGTTCCTCACTGGTCCAGCCATCCGCTTATGACTTCCACTTCAGCTGGAATCAAGTTCCTTATGCTGTTGGTAAGAAAATATCTCTTTTTAGTAGATGTTTTTTTCACTACTATTTTCATGTGCACTTGGCTCTGGTGGAATTACAATATTCTGGGAATAAGCATGTTACATTTATGATGCCACTTGACTTGCCAAGTTTCTGAATATGATAATTTTGAAAAGTGGAGCCTTGGTAGCAAGTTCATCCTTTGTTGAACATTTCTTTTTTGTGTTTCTCATTTTCCATTCCCTCTATATTCTGCCAGGCATGAAGAGTGAAATTTTGTTCAAGCTCGATGTAGTTCAGTGTACATCAGTATGTTAGACAGCACTATTCATAGGAAAGGAACATGCCAGAAAAGGTCAAGAACAATTTTTGTGGGGCATCCAATAAACTTTTGCTTTAGCCATTTTCCTTTGCCAAATAACTTCTATTTCGTTGCAGTCTGTGCTTTCCCTTATGTTCTTGCCTTCACTACCGATTCCATCGAGATCCGATTAGTGGTGAATGGGAACTTAGTCCACACAGCAGTTGTGCCTGAGCTTCAACTTGTAGCATCAAGGGTAAGACAGAAAAATCATGTTTGAGTATTTCTGTGATATGTTGGGATCTAATTAACATAAAAAGTTGCTGCCACTAAAAATGTAACAAACAAAACTGAAATACATGTTTACTTTATCTGCAATAATTGTTCACCTGTTTGTTCTTAGTTTTTATCAAGGACAAAGAGAATCAGAAGATGGTTAAGAAAGTAACACCATACTAATGATGGGTTATTTGTCATTTCAGTCGGATATTTATTTTAAAGCTACTGCTGCAGTAAGTGGATCCTCTGACAGCAGCTCTAAGGAAATGAGTTCAAAGAATTCTCCTCAAACCCCAACAGCTTACGAAAAGCCAGAATTACCTCTTCCTTCTGTAGAAGGTAATGTGATTTCTAATTGTTCCAACAGCTATCACATCTTGGTGCATTTGATCTTAAGTAAAGATGGTAAAAAAATGTGAGTTCCTACCCAAAAGTGTGGAGGATAAGAGATTTTATGTTTTCCACACATATAAAGCACTTGGCTGAGCTTTTGCACTGTAGTATCTTTTCTGAATACATGGTAGCACTGTTCTGAAGAAATAAATTCTGTAGGAAGGGAGGAATTAAACCACAATATCTTGATGACTTTTCCACAATGTGACCAGGAGTCATAATGAAAAAGGACCATAAAATTGTGAGAAAGTTTGACATTTCACATACTCTATTCCTTTCGCCAAAGAAAAGCTGTATAACCACTGAAAGGCTGAAGCTCTTTTGCAAAATAAAAGTAAGAAGTCTTGAAAAGCTTTGCACAGACAATTTAGTGTAACATGATCTATGAACAGTTAGTCTATAGTGTAACAATAAAGGAGAAACAAGGGAACATCAACTAAATAATGCAAGATGTGTGTACATCTTTCTTCCTTAAATCTGCTGCTTTACTGTTAGCAGATAAGAAAAGGAGAAGGTAATCACAAATTTCTTATTTTATGGTAAGTTTGGGACTTCGATTTGTTTTTCTTCTAGGAATTAGGAAAACATGGTATTTTGCGTTACTTAAGAGGAGGAGTAATAATTTAAACCACTTGAGATCCAGGCTCCAATATGTTTGCAGTATTTTAAAACACATGGGAAATACTTCACAGAGTGCAGTGTAATAGTCAGAGTACCAGCTGCAGGTCATATAAATTCACTTCCTGGTTCCATTCCTGATTCATCGTGTTACCAAAAGTCAATCTTATTCTTTTCTCTAAGTCAAATTGCTTGTATTTCTTCCTTTTCCTAGCCTATTTGTATTGAAAGATCTCTAGAGCAAGAAAGATATTCGTCATTTCAGTTAAAAAGTGCCTAGCTCAACAAGTATAGTTTGTCTTTATAACTTTTCATTTGGAATTATTATGCAAATGTAACATTCTTTTTTCTTTTTGTGTTTCAGATGAAGCTCCATGCAAAAATCTGTACAAAATACCTCTCAGCAATCTGGTTGGACGAAGCATTGAACGACCTCTGAAGTCACCTTTGGCTCCCAAAGTCATCACTACTACAACATCAAGTGGCATTACCTCTCTTCCAGTTATGCACTCGCTACCTTTATCTCGTGTGGAAATTAAAGAAATTGCAAGCAGAACGCGTAAAGAATTGCTGGGTAAACTCTCCTTATTCCTCAGTGTTACATATCAATTCCCAGACACATACTTTCTAATCTTTGCACCGTCACAGGTAGGTTTGTAACATGCAGCTAGTATTAATAAATTATTAAAATAAAAAAAGGAAACAGTGAGGGAACATTATTTGCAAATAGTAAAGCCATTGTCTGATCATGTATAAGATGGCCATATTCTAAGCTAAGTAGAAATGGTTAATAATGGAAAATGGCAACAGATAACCTTTTCATGAATACTTTGCTTTCTGTTGAAAGTATTAAGTCTTTTATTCCTTTATTGAGGTCTTTTGGATGAGCCTATACCCAAGATAGAAAGTGCACAGAAGCTGAAAAAGGTTTCTCGAAGACAGTCAGACCCAAAGCAGGGAGCTGTAAGATCATCTAGTAGTGACAGGTAAATATACTTTAGAAAGGAGACTAAGTTAGACTGTAAATATTTTCAGAATCGATTGCTTATGCTTATCTCAGTTGGCATGAGGCTGACTGAAACCTTTGTATATCCATGAGCGTTTCATGTTTGTTAGAGTATCTGAATACCATAAGTACTGAAGCAGTTACACTTTTTGCTAAAGACATGTTAATGAGCAAGACAAGACTTAATGGCATTTTGTGGGGACTTGCTGCAGCGGAACCTGTTATAAAGATTTGGACTACTGCAGCTACACTGTGCAGATTCTCTTGTTTTCATTATATGCTCTTGTGTTGCTATTTTCAGAATAAATTTTGTGAAAAAATACTGCAGCATTTGTCTGTTTAGCACTCTCCCAGATTTGCCCTGAACCAGGACACCCCAATGCTATTCTCTTGTTTTCATTGTTTCCATAACCTATGTTTGTGTAGAGTACTGGCAGAATACAGAATACTGGCAAGATACAGGAGACTGAGAGTAAGAAAATTAAAAGTCTCTTGCAGTGTAAAACTATGTTTGATATATTTCCCTACTTGGAAATTATTTGGGTGAGGGGCTTCATTAATACTAACTTTTGATTATTTTTAGTAGAGTAAAACAGGAGGAAACTTAGTTGTAATGGTCTCTTGTCTGTCTTTAGGTTAACTTGATTGAATCTTGAAGTAGCCATTGTTCTTCCTGCCCTGACCTGTGTATTTTTTTTAGTAGCTTTTATTTTCCTCTTTGCAGGATATCAAGCTCATTTGAAGGCTATCCTGAAAGATGTCCTCTTTCCACTAGTTCAGATCCTGATACTTCAGCAAACAGGGAGGAGAGCTCACCATCTAGCTATCCATTTCAGCTGATTTCCTTATATGATGAAGACATCATTGACTTAAAATGAAGATACTTTTAAAACCCTTTTTCCTTACTTCACATTTTCTTACAGCTCTGTAAGCTCTATGGCAATGTCACAAACACTGTTTCTGGTAGTAAAATGTGGCTGGAAGTACTGGTGATAAATCCTTATGGAACCCATAGTCTGGTTAGCACAGCCTGATTTGGCAATGCTTGTATCTTTAACATAGGTATGTTTTCTCAGTAAAAGCATTACTTTTCATGGCATTCTAATAGTAGGTAATCAATGGAGGGTTTGGGCTGAAACTGAAGTAAACAGAAGTATTACTTGTTCTAAGCTTCTTATAATTTGACTTACCTAAATGACATGCAGCACAGTTAATTGCTGTAATTACTATCATGAGTTGTTTTACAATAATGTATGTCATGTTGGAAGAGGAATTTTGTAACACAGATCGCTACTTTTGCTTTTTTGGTCTTTAAAAAACAACAACAACAATAACAACAACAAAAAGGCTTGCAGGCAAGGTCATTTCAAACACTGGAGTGAGTCTCTAAATTCATGCATATGTATTATGTTCACTGAAGAATCAGGTGAGATACGAAGATGGCGTTTCCTTGGCTCCTTGTTTAGAGAAATTTGAAAACTCTTTTAGCATAAAGAATCCCTGAGCAGAGAACCTTTCTATAGGACACACAAACTTTCAGAGTATTTCTTGAAAATGGGAAACTAAAAAAACCTAAAAAACCCCATGAACAAACAAAAAAATGATGAAACAAAAACTCCAGTGCATCTACTAGAAAACTCTTATTGTAGTTCATCTGCAGATTTTTCCATTGCAGGCAGAAGAGCCAACCCAAATTACTGTGTTAAACGACAGGGGTTTATATTTAAAGTTTGATCTTTTTTAATCCTTTCCTCTAGAATAGCTTTGCAATGATTGTTTGTTGTTTTTTTTTTAATGCAAGCCTTTCTATATATGATGATTTTAGCTTTATTAGCAAGTGTTTCTTGTTCTAAATGTAGAAATAATTCTGTAGCCATGATTTTATTTCATAATACCATGATGTCATGATTTCACTTTTGTTCAAGCATGATAATCTGAAGATGCGTGCCTTTTGCTGCCATCTGTCTGAATGTACAACTGGTTTTGCGAAGTGATTTTTTAATCAGTTTATTGTATAATATGGCTGAATTGCTTTACTTAAGAAAATATGCAGAGTCTTACCTGGAAGCATAATTTTTTACTCTCAACTGGGGTGGCTAATCAACAGAAGCAATATTTTCAATAGTAATTAGCCTAGGAATAGAAGGCTGTTATTACTTTAGTGGATTTTGCACTCATAGATGTGTGGGGTGATAAGCATTTAAAAGGAAGTACTAGATTCAAGTATTTGCAAAAACTTGTAATTATTTTTTGAGAATGTTGTTTCCAGAGAGTGAGTGTGTTACTTTATTCTATCCTAACTTATTTGGACAGTTAAGGCTTAAAGAAAATCAATCTGAAAATACCACGTGGTACTTATTTTCCTGGAAGTTGTAAACACTTCTGAATCCACTTGTGGGGTCATTGCTGTCACTTATTTTTAAAAAGGAAAATAACCAGCCTTTTCCATGAACAGCTCTCTCAATGTAGTATTTGATTTCTGGTTTGTGGCTATTTTTGAAGACTGTACAAGTGTGTTCTAAAACTGGGGCTTTAGTTAAAATTTTAACTGGAAACTTTGCTTTACTTTGTGAGGATACTGGATTTTAAATATACTGCAGATGTTCACCTGTGCTGTCACAGCATAATTTAAAATGATTAACCATTGTTTGATAGCAGTTGAAGCAATATATGGAGATTTTTAAATTTGTTTTGAAGAATCTGAGCAAACGCATACTTGGGTGTCCTGAAAGACTAGCCTTAGAGATGGAGCACTAGGGAGAACAAGAATGAGAAGAGCTTGACAGAAAACTTGACGACTGCCTATGATGGCAGTCAGAATGCATTTAGATACAGCATTTGCATTATATCCTAAACGTGATTATAGAAGAAAGTACTATAAAGCAAGAGTTATTTTCTTGAACCAGGAGTGCAGCAGTGGCTGTAAAGTATTACCATTAATTAAGAGAGCGTTGGGGGTGTGTGTGTGTATGTGAGAGAAAGACCCTTTGAAGGTTTGCCTGTAATTACAGCATTGATGACATCTAGCAAATGAACTATAAAGAGTACAGATAGTGGATTAATGAAGCACAAAACCAGATCATATTGGCTTCATGGTACATACCTAGAACAGGATATTGGTATTATTTGAAGAGAGAAGCCCAGCAACTGCATCCCTGCCCACCTCCCACCTGCTTTTATGCTATAGCTTGACTTAATGGGTCTGGTACAAGCAAGTCACACTAGGAACTACTAGATCTTAACAGACCATTGCTGAATCCTGGAAAAAAAATTAATGTCTTCATTCTTAATATATCCAGTAAGTGTCTTGTTAAGTTTTTGCTTCTGTATTTAGAGTGTCATAGAGGAATAATACCTAATGTGGCAAAAGAAGTAGAGACTGGTACAACATTTTGTTTGGGTTATATGACAGTTAGAGTTGGTAGCTGAGGCTTTAGAGTCATGTATATTTAGTTTACTACCTACTTAGTGTATGAGAGCAGCCCAGAATGTAGGTAGAAGGCAAAGAAAATGGAAATAATATTTCAATTTTATTTGACACAAGCCACAGCAACCAAATTCTGTGAAGATCTTGATCACATTTATTGTATCAAAAGAAACAAATACCAACACAATCATGTGAAATTGCTGGTATACACAACCTTGTACAAGGATGTGGCTTTGAGTTTTTAGTAGTCTGAACAGACAACCATGATTTGTGTGTGTCTTCATGTGAAGAGAACTAACTTCTAGCCATTGTTTCTCTCAAAACATCATCCTTACTATTCAGACTGCTAATTAAAATCTAGAGGCAGTTGGTGGTATTGATACAGGTCTTGTGCATCATTTATAAAGGGCAAAGTTCTTACAAACCTGTGGAACCTCTCCTTAAGACTGGCATAAGATGACAAGGCTTTTGGAAGGCTGCTGGGACGGCTATAGTGTTGTTCACTCCGGCGTTGGAGCCATGTTATTTGCCCTCTGTTTTTTCTAGCATGTGCATGCATATGCTCTCTAAAACAGTAGTCTTAGGCAGAAATTGCAGCCTTGTCCGCTGTAAGCACAACCCTTTCTCCTTTCACATTGGGTGTTAAAGCTGCCTGTAGGCTGCATTCTTGATACTGGCTGACAATCTCATGGTTAGGAGAAAAGATAACCTTTGAATCTACAACTATGGAAGATGGGTGTTGTTCTGATAGGAAAACTGAAAGATGTTTCTACAGAGGGATGGAAGGAAGGAATTGTTTCCGTGAAGGAAGAATTGTTATCAGATTGAACGCTTGCTATCAGGCTAAGTTTAACTGAAGGCCCATTCTGGACTCTTGGCTAAGTTTCGGCAAGAAATACTTTCAATCCCAATGTGCTGGATTTGTAGGCAGCAGCAGGGCTCTTAACTCCTTCTGGCTAAATGGTGTTGGTCACCACTTCATCCCTGTGCCTTAGTCTGACTAAATTATAGGAATGTCATTTACACTGGTGCAAGCATGAGATTGTACAGGTAGTTAATTTAGAATGTACTTGTATGTTCTCACCAGCATGGTTAATGATGCATGGAATCACAAAATAGTTGAGGGTAGAAAGGACCACTGTGTTATCGTCTAGTGTAGTACACACACCTGTGCACTGTAATTCAGAAATCTGTTCAAATTGGATATACAACATTTTGTCCTGCATTTGAATTACTGCATGCATATAAACCATAACCACAACTTGAAGTGTGAGTAGGACTTAAGAACCCCCACACAAGAGCTAAATTAATTCACACACACAGAAGAATATGGAGCCCTTTAGGCTTTGATGAGCTGCTTGCAAGGTCCCTAAAGCCCAGTTTGGGCTTTAGAAACCAGTACAAATAGTCATTTTTGTCCAGTTTCTTATTCTAGTGGCAATACAGTACACATAAATATTTTGTATGTGTTTGAAAGTAACAAAACACTTCCTTCTAATAAGAAACAAAGACCCACATGAAATTTGAAGGAGATGTGGCTATTCATGGTAGCAAGAGAACTGCTTTCTAGGTTCAGTGAATGCACACATACATTCAGTTTCCTGGTTTGCAAAGAAGCAAGGCCTGCTCTAGTTATAGTCCTTTACGAGTTTGGTGGTGTGGGGGAGATTCCTGTTTGTTTTGGTTTTTGTGGTTTCTGGAGGCTGGTGGTGTGGGCAGGTTCTTTGTTGGTTTGTTGGTTTGTTGGTTGGGATTTTTTTCAGATTTTGGAGGGGTGGGGTTTGGTTGGTTGGGTTGGTTTTGGTTGTGGTTTTTTGTTGGTTTATTTTTTTGGTTTGTTGTTTGGTGGTGGTTTTTTTTTGTTTGTTTGTTTTTTTGGGATTTTTTTGTTGGTCTGCTGTTGTTTTTCAATGCATAACATACATGCAAGTATGCACCTGGAATGAACAGCTGGTTTGTTCTCTGCCTTCATGTGATTATTTCTATAAATGTGGACATATTTGTAATTGATAGATTCAAATTGAATTTTTTTAGTACTTGACAGTCAACTGAATAAATATTTAAACAGTAGTTAAGAGGGCAGGGAATGGGTAACGTTACTGCCTAACTAGTTATGTATGGTTAAGGTTGCTACTCCTGAGATATATTTTCTGCTGTTCTAAGTATATTTGACCAGTAATGGCTAGCTCGAACATGTTTTTCTAAAGGTGTGGGTCTGTAACTCGGCCTTGCAGATGCAGTGGCTTTTCCAGAGCTGTTGGCTTAGTCTGCATTTGAAATATATAACCCTTTTCATTTGGATTTGGTTTTCAATATATATATATATACATATATAGGTATATATATTTGTAACTTCTACTGTAAATTTTCAGGGATTAAAAATCCTGACTTATATATATATATATATATATATATATATAAATTTAAAGTAATGGGATCATAAAAGGCAGGGGAAGAGAAAATCCCATCAGCAAGTGATAAGATTTTTCAGAATAATTTCTGTTGGCTTCCGTGTATGAAAATGGGTATCGCGCTGTTTTCATTCTTCACAATTTGATGTCATGGTCCATATGCACAGCGCTTGCATATTCTGTTAAAGCACTGTTTTCTCAGATAGGCTTAATTTGTTCTTGTGAAGGACTATATTATACCTTGGGAACCTAATATTAAAAATATGGGAAGGCTCAAGAGATTATGCAGCAAACATCTGTACTTGCATGCAGGTTAGAAAGTATTTTTACTCTTATTACTTCAGCACAGCAACTTCACCAGCCTGTATACTGCTTAGCTGCTTCACTTTGTTGCTGACCTGTAAATGACTGACTCCTTTTTGCTACTGGAAATTGTACTAGCATCTGACTTGAAGAGAAAATGGAGACAATTTTCTGCATATTTACCTGGTCATATGGAAAATGTTATGTAAAGGTTTATGCAGAGCGTTACCAATCTAGAAAGTCAGTTTAATTGTCTTTGAATGGTAGCAGACTGCTTGTAATTTAATAATGGCATATTGCTAAGACTGTTGCTACGTTTGTGATCAAAGACTCTTTACCATTGGTCTTAAATGCTGATGTATTACCATTGTTTTTAATGTCATATGATAGCATGTATTGTTTGTATTTTAGATACAACATCCAAATAGAAACAGTCCTATCTCATCTGAAACTGTTTAAAGTGCTGTTTATCACCTTTGTGAAGAAGAAACATGATTTATTTCTTCGTCTGTAATAAACTATAAATTTGACCCCACCCATTTCTTTCACCTGTTTCACACAGACAGGAATAATGACTTCCAAATTTGCAAAGTCAAAAGACAAGAAATCAAAAAGACAGGATATAGCACAGATCACTGCTTTTTCCACTTGAGTTTTCTGAAGTGCTGTATCATACCTATGAGATTGTTGTTTTGTGTCGTAAGTTTTACCCGTCTTTGACACAAGCCATAACCTAGCTTTGGTTTATGTTTCCAGGCATCTTTAGACTTTTGGAGACCTAGTTGAGGATATTTACTCTGTAGACTAACAATACAAAATAGTTTTTCTCCCTTTCTGGGTAAATGTGTATTCTTACTGTGTCCAAGACCTTGCAATTCCTTTTGAAAAACTAATAATCTTTCCTGAAGTATCCAAGACATTCTCTTAAGAGCTACAACCCCTTTTGTGATTTAAATGCATTCCTAGCCACCTTGACAACAATAGGAAAAAACCCTTAAATCCATGAAAGTGGAGAATTCGTCTCCATTTGGGATTAAGACTTAATTCTGTGGTCAGAATTAACAGAAATAACAGCCACATCAAGTACTGCAGTCTGAAACTAACATTACCCAGACTGCGTTGTGAACTTCTTCACTGTAACATACACCATAAGGAAAAGGTAAAGTTAAGCAAGGAAATTTTATTCATTTATAAAATTAAATTTTATTTTACATCTTATTAAAAAAAGATACTGGCCCAATACAATTAATATTTTCACAGGGCCATTACAGTCAGTACAACAGGTTAAAAGAACACAGGAACTGAAGAAATAAGAGTAATTAACGATACTTACTATAAAACGCCGAAATTCTTTGTGTTCCTAAGAATGCCATAACCCAGTTCCTTAACACACCAGCAGCACTTGATATGCCTTTCGCTTTAATTAGGAGGATTTCAGATATCGGCAACCATGGAGCTGGACCCAGGCAAAGGCAAAACCTGCAATTAGAAAAAGTAAATTATGTCCAAATTAATCAAGTAAGGGGGATGCAGTTTTCAGTTATATTTGTGCATGGTTCCACCAACACCGTACGCAATTTTAAGTCAGTATGATAAACACTAGTACATTTTCATCATAATAATTACAGGAATATTCTTAACAAACAGAACTTGCAAACCCTCGGGTAGGAGTCGGAAGCGGCGGAACCCAGCAGGCAGCGACATTCCCCAGCAGCCACGTCTCGCCCGTGGGGCAGCGCCGGCGCGCCCGTCGCGCACAGCGGGAGCGGCCCGAGCGGCGCGCACAGCGGGAGCGGCCCGAGCGGCGCGCACAGCGGGAGCGGCCCGAGCGGCGCGCACAGCGGGAGCCGCCGGGCGGCGCGCACAGCGGGAGCGGCCCGAGCGGCGCGCACAGCG